CACCTCCTCTTTCCAAGAGTTGAGAAATTCAACAGCTGTGTGTCCAGTACCTCTGTCTCCTCTGATTGTTTCCCTCTTTTCAAAATTATTTCAGTGGGTGGACCAGCAGTGCAAGCTTGTAAATTTTGAACTTCTCAGGCTGCAGAGGCAGGGACCAGTGGACATGGGGCTGACCAGTGGACATAAAACCCTGGAGAGGAGGAGGGGGATGGAGGGGAGGTGGAGAAAAGGGGAAATGATGCCCCTAACTCTCCGAGGCAGATATATATTTTTAACTATTAGAAACTTGGAATAAATCTTAAAAAGTTGGGAGTGGTGGAAGAGACAAGGTCAATGTTCTGTTTCCGTGGCTCTCACATCTGGCTGCATATGAGCATCAGTTGGAGAGCTTTTAAAGTCCATAAAGCTTAGGTCCCATCTCAGGTCAACTGAATCAGAACCTCTGGGGTGGGACCCAGGTATTGGAATTTTTAAAAAGTGCCCCATGATCCCCTAATGTGCAGCCAGACATAAGATCCACTGGTCTATTTGTTACGTGACATTACAAAAATAAAAACAAAAGATAAATACAAGATAACTTTAGGTGCATCTTAATTGTGAAAAATTATGGAGAGATTTACCACCATCTAACAATTTTCTGTGTCTAGCCTCAACGACGTTTGGCCCTGCACAAGCTATGCCGCTACACGGTCATCGAGGTCTTTGCCACCTGCAAGAGGAACCCTGGGACAGAAATGCGAAACATCTTTCCAAAATCCTAAACGGTAAGGAGATCAAGGAAGAAGATCACCTAAGTTGTCTTCTATCTTTCCAATGAACAGGAAAAAAGCCTTCTTAATTTTTCTTCACAAGACACATGCGTTGAGCACTGAGGACAGGCTTGGTGCTGGCCGGGAAGAAGACAGAGAAGTTCATAAAAATCAGTGCCTGTCCTCTTTCCTCAAGGTTCCGTCAGAGCACTGCTCTAAAAAAGCCACCAGCAAGCTGGCAATGGAGATTAGCCGCTGCACTCTATTGATTGAGTGAGACACCCCTATGGTGTAAGACAGGCACTTTCATGGAAGTTTTTGCCTCCTTACAAAGGAAAACGACTCAGTTTCTCAAGGATCTGCTCGCCCTACGCCCTACGCAGTGCTGCTGGAAGCCGACCAGTAACACGTGACCAAAGAGGCGCTTCCACACTGAGTACACTCCACAGGGTATGCTGAATGACAGCCTCCTGAGTAACCAAACCAGCCACACCTCGAAGAAAGCAGGTCAAGCTTAATAAGCATGAGCTGGTTGGCTTTACCTGTTCCTACCATCCTATTCTCTGCTCGCTTGTTTTTCTTAAAAACCCATAACCTTAAGCACCTTTGCTTCAAAAGGATGAATGAAGAATAAGAAAACGGAAAAAAAAAAAAAGAGGCCAGCAAATAATGTGTTTCCTCTTGTGTTCTCCCTAAGGTGGACCTGTCATAATGCAGATTCAGAGAGAAAAATCAATAAGGTTTTTCTCTGTGTAATCCATCCAATACATAATTTTGCCCCTGCTTTGAACTAGAAGTCATTATTCCCAACAACAGCAGTCCTAAACAAAATATACTCTATCCTTTCCAGGGAGTGGGAAGAGTTAAATAGGAGGATAGACCCCGCAGACCAGGGCTGGCTGGGGGGAGCTTGCTCCTCCTTGCCTCTAGCACCTCCACTCACAACTCCTTGTTTTTCTTTCTCCTTGCCTGCTTTGTAATTCTCCTGGGCTGGGAGTGCTCAGCGATGTCTCCCCTATACTGGGAAGATGAAAGAGCTGCTTGATTTTTCTCTACCATTCCAAAGGTATAAGCCAGGACCTGAACCTTGACAGAAAAGGTCATCTTTGAAAGCTGCTTCAGTCACTTTCCATGTTCATAAATAGATATCCAGTGGCCAGACTCAAATAGCTTTTTCATTTGAAACAATGAAGAATCACTCATTCATTCATTCTACAGCTGTTCCTGGAAAGACTCCTTGAGCCTGGTCCTACAAGGGAGGAAAGGTATGCATACAGGGGATGATGAAAACACACGGGGCATCCGTTATGTGAATCTAATCACTTGGGAAAATCATTAGTAGGTTGCTTTTAAGCATCTCTAATATTATTGCTTTTAAAACCCAGTTTGACTTGGTGATAGACTACCATATGAATTGTTGTTTTCTTGATTCAGGTAGCAACAGGATTACATTATGTCAATAGCTCTGGCATTCTCCTTCCTATTGCATTCAATTAAGTCAACGTTTCTTCCACTTGCACGTCCGTATCAATTAGTAATCACTTCAGCTGCTCCTCTGTGAGTGCGGAAGGTCTCTTCTATTGGGTCTTGTACTTCCATTTTCACAACTAAGTGACTTTTGTGGGAAAGAGATGGGAAGTGACTCACATCTCTGGCACCGTTATTTTCCCCAGCCTCTGGTGGGCACAGGAATGTAACAATCCAGAACAGGCTCATCCTGGTCTATGGGAGCACTTATGTCCTCCCATGTACCCTTTCCTCCTCACTGCCACTGGGGCCATGTGGACGACCACCAGATGGCTCCAGCCGGCCCCAGATGGCTCTCTCTCTAAAAGGGGTGCTCGAGAACATAAAAACGCTGCTGTATACTTTTATTGCAGCCCCTTCTCATTTTCCTCCATCTGTCTTCCATATGTTTATAGGATGCTATTAGGCTCTTGCTCACATAGGCCTTTTATAATGAAGGTTGCCAGCCTGACCAAAATAAAGAACGTGAATTCACCTCTGTTGGTAACAAGGGGCCTCAATTCCTTTAAATATGTGATTCGTTTAGTATTCAAGCTAGAACAAACTAATCACATCTTTTCTTCAAGTTGCCCATGGAATTTATTTTATTTTTTACATATATGATATTTCTTTTCATTTTAGCAACAAAAAACCACATGGTGGCTTTTCTGTTGTATTTTCTCCAAGGGCTGGAATGTGATGTTTTGAAGAACTGCATGGGACTTCACTTAGGCCTCCCTATTGCATACACGTCAATCTCTAAGTTTGACTTTCCATTTTCATAAAGTTCTCTGTTAATCACAGGAAAAGTTGCTACCATGCTTTCTTTCAAGTGTCACTACAAAAATCTGAAGTATCATGCGTCCTCTGAAAACTCTGAGGGAATGAGTAGGAACAATGAGAGGCTGACCCCGAGAGGTCTCTTCCTGCCTTGCTGAGGGCAAACCCCTGAGCTCTGGTCCTCTCTGCTTTGCTGAGCATGGGGCTAGAGGGGCATATCTGATCCCAGGCATGGTGTAACAGTCGCTAGACACCATGCACAACACTGATTCCAGCAGCCCGCAACTCCGGGCATACTTAGTAAAGTAATCTGGGAGACTTCTCATTCCCAGTGTTGGACAGTGGGAGCGTGTTATGGGCACCTAGGCCATCTTTCTCAAAAAAACCACTGACAATTACAAAGAAAGAAAAAAGAAATCAAGTTAGGCCTAATACTGGCGTTAATAATTTTTACACCCACTCACATGACCTAGACACAGAGTCTCACATTACAGACCGGAACTGTGGTGCTGTTAAGAAGAAGCAAGCATTCAAACCCCTGAAAAATCTATCCACATTGAAAGGTGTCCTCTTTGTGGCAGATTATTTGCCTGTAATCTAGTCCAAAGCACCTGTGTAGAGCAGTCTGGTAATCAGTATGTGGAAAATTATTCCCGGTTCCATGATGATTATATCTGATGAAGCAGAACATGGGAACAGTGCTCAAGATGCACAAAATATTAACCAATAGACATACAAAAATAACCCAGCAAATGCCATGAGAATGTTTTTCTTTTAGTCTGTGTATAAATGACAGCTACTGGTTTCCACCACCCCAAACATACGCAAAATAAAGTATCTATTTGGTTTTTGAGATCAAAGTATAACATTACTGTAGGATATGGGATTGGGTCATTTTCCTTTTCCTTTTTTTAACCCGTTTACATATTTCACACAACTTTGTTTCTCTTCACGTCCTTCATAGTGCTTTTTAGAGTCAGATATCAGTTAGGTTCAGACAAAAAACTACTGGGACCCAAGGAAACTTGCTCCCACCTACACAGTCATTTCACAATCTTTCCAACGAGAGGAAAAACCTAAGGTGTTACTCTGCAGGAATTCAACCTACAAACACAGGTGCTCTGATAACAGCAAACAGTGCCTTTTAGTCAGGAGATCAAGTTACAGGATCGAGGCTACAGCCAGAGGCCTATTCATTGCAATAATTGTTCCACGCTGGAACAAATTACGAATTCTGGTGAAGAGAAGTAAGTACTTGCCTTCTGGCGATAAAGGGAGCATGCATGGTTAGGTTGTTTTGTATATGCAGTGGTACTGTTTCCCAAAGTGCAAGGGTGACGAAGCTAAATGGGTATTTTGCTCCCAGATTAGATAGAAAGGACAAGAAGCCTGACCACTAAGACTTCGGTGAGTTATAGTTTCTAGTCCGCGAAGCTATGAGTAGGATATTCCGCACGGCAAGGCTTGCTCTGAGCAATTTGCAAACCACCTGGAAAAAGGCAGAAGTTGCTGCTAAGCTTCCAGTTGCTGAGTAGTTGCATTAATCGTTGGCATCTCCGCAGGGAGGCTACTCCCCTCGGCTCAGCGCTTCCCACAGGCCAGGTGAACGCTCATCCCTTGTATTTCTTCCCAATGAGCACTGGCTATTAAAATGCTAGCCTCTTGCCAACTGCCTTTAGGTGAGATTTCGTAAAAATTGCCAAAGACACAAGAACATCTGCCTTCCCATCGTTTTCTTTGTACAGCGACTTCCCAGGCAGCTGCTTGGATCTACATGTGTCCATTTACTGGATTGAAACAAAACAGCACGAGGCCAAGGGGGGAGGCGCACAAAGCAGATGCTATTTCTGCCCATGCTGGTTTCGGCTACAGCGGGAGCCTTGCCCCCGCTGACGAGGGCAGGCGCAGCTGCGGGTCTGGAAGCTGGAGACAAACCCCCCCCACCCCCACCCCCCCGTGCCTTACCTGTTTCTTTGTCCTGGACTTCTTCCAGATGCAAGTCATTCAAAAGGTGCTCCAAAATCTTCTCGGGGGTCCCGGACACGACCACGTATCTGTCAGAGAGCAGAGAGTCCACCGAGTCATCCTCGGTGGAAGACTGCGAGCGGCTGCTCCATTCATCGTCCTCATCCTCCTCATCAATGTACTTGAAATAAGGCACATCGAAGGTAGGCAAGGGCAGCTCTCGGTCGGAGAGCGCTGCGGACTCCTTCCTCTCTAGCTGAGGGTCAAAGACCCTCAGCCGGGAGCTGCCCATTGTGAACGGCCACTAACAAAGACATCCCCTAAGAGCTAAAAGATCTTGCCATCTCTGTCCTTTCGCCGGGAACTGAGTCCATCTGGCTGCCAAGAGCTCTGCAGGCAGCTAGGACGCGGCGCGAGAGGCGAGAGGCGGGGAGAAGAGAGGGAGGGAGGGAGGGACGGGAGGCAGCGGGAGCGAGCGAGATGGAGCGAGAGAAGGGGAGGCAGGCAGGGCCGAGGAAAGAGGAGCGCGAGCCTCCGTGCGAACTCACCTCCAATCACTGTCGGCGCTGCCGGCCAGGGGGGCCGGCCCACAGCACTGCACCCTCTTCAGCACCAGGACGTTGTGCTCTTGCTCCTTCACCCGAACCGTCCTCACCTCATCATCCTGCTTTCGGCGGGCGGCGGGGAGGACCGTGATGGATGGGACGAAAAGGGGAGAGAAAATTAAACAAACCGGCAAACAAAAACAAAAACAAACAAACCCCAATCCCCAAGCAGGGGCTAAACTGAAGCTGCGTTTTCTCAAGTTGCTTTCCACCAGGATTTCTTTAAAGATCCTGAAAAAAATAAGGAGTCCGGGCAAGAATCTCCCTCTAATGGTAGAGCGTCCCGGCTCAAATTCTATAAACATAGACAAGTATTAGGGAGACATAAGTACTGTAAAGGAAATGGGAGAAAATAAATAAAGTGGGGCTAGGATTCAGAGAGCTCACTTTTAAAACTACCTGAATGATCTGAAGTAAGGAATCCGAAGTTCAAAGTTTCAAAAGACACAACATACTAACTGTATATCTAGTCTCTTTTATCTTGTTAATGCTTAAAACTGGAAAGTTATAGGGGCGCCTGGGTGGCTCAGTCATTGAGTGTCTGCCTTCGGCTCAGGTCATGATCCCAGGGTCCTGGGATCGAGCCCCGCATCGGGCTCCCTGCTCTGCAGGAAGCCTGCTTCTCCCTCTCCCACTCCCCCTGCTTGTGTTCCCTCTCTAGCTGTGTTTCTCTCTGTCAAATAAATAAATAAAACCTTAAAAAAAAACTGGAAAGTTATAAACCACTTAAACACTAAAACAATGAACAAGCCATATTAAGTAGTTAGGGTGGACACATACTCATTTGCCTCACAGCCCTACTTCAAAAGGTGGGCAAAAAACTGCCCATTCTATCACTCAGTTCATTTTTTCCCCCCAGACGTAAGACGGCCTTCAAATTTATCCTGTGCTAGTTTTGCTGGAATACAAGCAAAAATGGATCTCTAGTTAGAATCTCATCTAGGCTGAAATTCGCATGTCACGGGTGAGTGCACTGACTTTCTTCACCTCAGTCCCTTTCAAAAAGGAGAGAAGGCTGAACAATCATTCATTTCTGCACACACAGCTTCCACAGCCCAGAGCCACCGTGGCCCGCTGACTAGGCTCTGTCGGAGTCCGGCTCACTGCTGACCCAGCAGTGTGGAGGCTGACCCTGAGTGATGAACACTTCCAGAGTACATATATAGTGTGAAATTCTCCCAGTGTGTGACACCCGGGAAGGGTGAGGTAGCCCAGGACAAAAGAACTGTAAAATACACATAAGAAAAGCTAGCGTCTGTATTTCTGAGGATTTGAGTAAAAGATGAAAGCAAGAAAAGTTGATAGTAGGTAGGCTTCACCTGAAAAATGATATCACTTCTTTCAAAAGGGAAACATGCCCTAGAGTTCCTAGCATGTTTCTGCCACTGGCAGAAAATCCAACCTATCATTAGGAGCAAGCATTAAAGGAAAAAAAAAAAAAAGAGTATATTTCTCCCCAATGGGTAAAATGTACTATGTCCACTGTACCTTATTAATCAGCTCTATAGATCTACCAGGGATGGCAATGCATTTTATTCACCCTTCCTAAGAATACAAAGGCACTAATCTTGCCATAATTGTCAACCAAATCAGTGATAAAATTATGATTGCAACTGCGGATGTCCTGATTCCTAAGAAAATGTAGTGACAAAAATAAAAATTATTGGTAACTCTAAACAGCAATATAACTTTATGATAATTTAAAAAATCTTTTAGTGGCAAATAATTTTACTATGTAAAACGGGTGTATTACATTTCAGCAAGGTCAGACGCTCAGTTACTGTGGCAATTAATGTTGGATATTCATTGTTCAACTCCCTGAGGACGGCAGCGTGACTCCTGTAACATGAATACCAATGTGTAATTGCTATCTTTCATTTCTCCAAAGGGGTTCTGTTGTTATCCATGTAGCTGAAGTGAAATAAGGTGGCTGGAGAGAGGGGCATATATTGACCAAAAAAAAAAAAAAAAAGGCAGAATGTGGGTCTGGGATACTGAGACACAGAAACAAATAATTCACTCAACAGTGGATTTGAAAGGACAAAAATCTTTCCCTGGTTCTCCTCTCATCATAAGCCAATATTCATTTTCTATGAGCCTGCTGTCATTGTGAAGTACATTTTACATTCTACATGCACGTGATATATGGCATTATTAACTTCCAAGGGCCACGCACATACATATGGATGGGAAGGGCTTTGCTAACGTCTGTGTAACTAATATGTATTACAGGGCTGTGCAGAGAGCAGCCACACTCTACTGGGCAGGGAAATAGCTGAATCATATTGATGTACTATCAATAGCATCTTATGTCATAGTGATAGTTTCCATTTTGAAAACCTGTTAAAAAATAAAAGAGAAAGCAGAAAAATCAATGTATAAAGGGAGATGTAAGTTATCTAAAATTGCCATGAAAACATAATAATCCTAGGTATTCTATCTGGCTTTCAAAAAGGAAGGGAATATGAATGCCTCATGACCCATGCACACTTACCTAATTGCTCTTCCTGAAAAAGAGCAGAAGTACCATGGTTGAGGTTCTGAGTAGGAAACTTTGTTCTGGTGCTTGCTTGAAGAATAAAAGTATTTAGAGGTCTAATGATGGAAAATTGTTCAATCACAAATAGTTCATGAAGGGCAAGTAAAGCATTAAAATGCTTAATTTATAGTCATTCACTCAACAAACAGTGATGGTGTCTTATGGGTATGGCACTGTGCTAGATACCGAGGAACAAGGAGAGATGAGCAAGACAAGTCCCTTGCCCCTAACTAACAAGTTAATAGGCTCCCTAACGACATAACTGTAACTTGGCAAGCACCCTAAGATGAGGTCAAATGTGAGAGACAATGCAAAGGCAGAACCCATGGGATTTGATAGTCAAGACAGCTGTAAGTGACAGAGAATGGGAATGCCATGAAATGGGACAAAAACGATACAGAGACTCTGGTTCCGGTGAGACTGACGAATCTAGTTTCAGACAAGTGATGTTTTAGTACTGATAATATATCATACTATAGATACTTAGCAGGCAGTTAGAAATAATGAACTAGGCTTCCAACAGAGGTCAAGGGCAGAGACAAATTTGTGAATTATTCAAGTTTTGGGAGTGGTTGAGACTGTTAAGAGGGAACAGGAGAGAAAGGGAACTCTAAAGATGGGAATAGGGGAAGGAAAAAACCCACAGAAAGTTGGAGAAAAGTAGAGGGTCAGAGTCTTGAGATGATGAAGTAAAACCAAGATGAGCCAGGAGAATCTGGAGAGCATGGTCTCAAGAGATTCAAGGAAAACGCTGGTCTGATGCTGTACAGTTTACAAAGATTACATCTAAGAAAAATCGATGACGAGATCACTTTGGTCGGGGAGTGAGAAGAGAAGGGCTAAGTTGCGACTGAATGGGGAGGGAGTCCACAGAGAAGCCCACTTCCTGGAACTGCATTGTGAAGGGAAAGGGCCACGCTGCAGAGGCTGTGGGGCTGGGGAAGGCAGATACTGAGAAAAGGGGACAAAATCAGGAACGCAGTGGAGGTGGCAGGCTAAGAAAGGATGAGTATTTCTTTCCCTCAGAGAGGTTCAAGGGAAGCAGGATGGGTGGAGACTTAGAAAAAAAATAAAGTATGGAAAATAAGGAAGCCACAGTAGAGCATACAAGGTGGCTTCTATCTTCTTAGTAGAGCGGGGATTGAGACTACCTTCTGGAAGGAGGGGATTCAGAGTGAAGTTGGTGGACACATGGCTTCCAGGGATACAAGAGGGGATAAACAAGTTATGAAAAAGAACATTGCTAGGCAGCTTTGTGGACTGCTGAGGGTAGAAACGCTCGTTGATGGTTATATGTATGCCTTCCTGCTGAAGGGCTCACAAACCTTAGAGGGGAACAGTGAATGATGGGGCCCACCCAGAGGAAGGGGCTGGCAAAGGAAACAACAGGAGGTGACAAGGGCAGGGCTTCTGGGTGGTTATCAGCATACCATGAACGCAGCTCATCACCACATAGTGTCGGCCTGGCTAGGGAGAGCCGTGAGCCAAGAAAGGCATTGATAAACTGGGAAAACACGGACCGGCTGACGCTAAGTCCCCACAGGAGCTAAGGGAGCAGGCAGGGGGTGGACGAGGAAGCAGGTGGAAGCTTTGATCAAGGAGGCAAATACGTGAAGTGGAGCAGTTCAGAGTGGTGAAGACTGAGAAAGACAAGAGCAGCCCCAGTATTCAGGAGCTGGCCTGGCACTCACAGCTAGGCTGGGGCTTCTCCTGTGAGCATCAGTGACTGTGCGGAAAATTGGCATCAGACAAGGCCAATCCGTGACTGTGATGGAACAAGATAAACACATGGCCACACGGTAATCACACCTGAACACAGACAAAGCATGCACATTGGCCAAGCCAGAAAATACCCAAAAGCCCAGATAACGAGCGACTGCTGCTTCTTTCCCAATTACCACTTCAGTTTTGCTCTGGTCTGTCTTCCCTGTAGGTAAGACTCAAGATAGCCGGTCAGAGTTACCCCATTTCCTGACAGCAAAGCCCTGCTTCTTTAAACCCACCCCCAAATCACCGGACACAAACCCAAGTCCTATGGATCCTTTCTCCTAGCACCCTCTCACTCTGATCTGCCCCATGGCTCCCCATAGTGTGAGGTCTCCCCCTCAGCAACAGGCAACAAACCCAGCTTGTCCAACTACAGGTGTGTGCCTGGTAGCCTCTGGCTAGAGGACATTGACAAGAGCTAGAGGATGCTGCCTTGCCATTGGTATGGAGAGGTGTGGAGATGGTGGTCACTGGAGTCAAGGATTGAAAAAACAAAACAAAACAGCATTTCCTTGTCTGGGTGATAGAAGAATCATACAAAGGAATGTTCCTGAAAGTGACTGCAGGAAACAGGGCTCAAAGTTTGGTAAAGTAGGAGATAGATAATAAAGCTACTGAGGAAAGTAGAAGAGCATCTGGAGGGAAGGAAAGATGACCTGAGCAGGTAGCACAGGCCTCAGGAGAGAAGGGGCTTCTGCAGGTGTGACAATGATATGGGAGGTGACGAGGGGCACAGGGTGTATTCCCAGAAGGCAC